ACCGAGCAGCATTACTAACACCAATAGGGATTGGGTTTAATTCAACTTAGTTAAGCTGATCGATGTTTCCATTTGTTCCATTGCAAGTCATCCCATCAATTGCTCTCGATTTTGAATAAGTATAGTGCATTACAATATATGAGCAACTGAATAAGTATAAAGCAACATAATTTAGGTTTAAGCGTGTGTAATTTTTCAAGTCAAAGTGTCACTCGTGTTTTTTGTATCTCTAGAATTTAAGCACCAAGAATCCAAGAGAAAATAACTGTGAATCAGATATAGGCAAGATGTAGCTGCATTTTGGCAACTTTCATTCCAATACTATGCTTTTTGAACCCTCATTTCTTGGCTTATAAATTAATGTTTCTCAAATTGCAGAATACTTTTCATTGGATTCCACACTATGGATACATCTTCTCTAAGTGACTTTGATAGTTTCAGCGAGAGCAGCAGTTATGACGATCAGGATTATGTTGAATATCTGTATGGTGGGCATGCCTGTTCTATTCTTTCAAGTCTTGAGGAGAGCATCGGTAAAATCGACGACTTTCTCTCCTTTGAGAGAGTGTTTATGTATGGGGACATAGTATGCGCAGTAAATGACCCATCCGGACAGATGGGAAAAGTGATCAATGTTGAGATGATTGTTGACTTGGAAAATATTTATGGAAGCAAGATGCAAGATGTTAACTCAAAAGATCTGGTGAAAATACGTCCAATTTCTGTTGGGGATTATGTAGTGATGGGCCCATGGCTTGGGAAAGTGGAAAAGATAGTCGATAAAGTTAAAGTCCTCTTTGATGATGGTGCAAAGTCTGAGTTTGCAGCCGAGGGTTCAGAAATTCTCACACCAATTTCCCCTGATTTAGTTGAAGACCCACAATATCCTTTCTACCCGGGACAAAGGGTTCAAGTTCAGTCTGTAGCTGCCTCTGGATCAACCAACTGGTTATGTGGTGTAAAAAGTGGCAAAAGAGAGCAAGGTACCATTTGTGCTGTGGAGGCTGGAGTCATGTATGTAGATTGGATCGGCTGTGGCAGTCTTGGTTGTGAAGAGGTGCCTAGTCCCCCGAATCTTCAGGACTCAGAAAAGTTAACCTTGTTATCTTGCTTCTCCCATGCAAAGTGGCAGCTTGGAGATTGCTGTCTACTTCCAGTTGCTGACTCTAAGAACTTTCTGCAGCAGAATATTCAATGCTCACCTCCCTATGGAGCAATGAAAGAGAACAGGCAGCTAAATAAGGCATCTCAGAGTAATAGGAGCTCAACTGTTCCGCAAGTTGCTGTAATTTCAAGAACAAGGACAAAAGTTGATGTTTCGTGGCAGGATGGAAGCGTGACTACTGGATTGGACTCAGATTCTGTATTTCCTGTCAATATTGTGGATGCTCATGAGTTTTGGCCAGAGCAGTTCGTGCTTGATAAGGGATCCTGTGATGACTCGTCTGTTCCCAGTCCAAAAAGGTGGGGCGTGGTGAGGTGTGTTGATGCGAAGGAGCGAACTGTAAAGGTAAAATGGACAACTTTTTCCTTGAATGAACCAAATAAGTTTAGGGTAGAGCAAACTGAAGAAATTGTGAGTGCATATGAACTGATGGACCATCCAGACTACTCATACTGTTTCGGTGATGCGGTTTGCAAGTTTTGTGAGGATCAGGTTTTCAGTCTTGATGGAAAAAGCATGTTCTCTGAGATGGACATTAACTCCAAGCTGAAGAATATTGATAAAAGAAAGGATAATTCAGATTTCACCGGATATGATCACTTGTCTTGCATTGGTATTATTGTTGGCTTCAAAGATGGCAATATTGAAGTGAAATGGGCTACTGGTATTACAAGCACGGTAAGGGTACTCTTTTTTCTATTCTTTTATTTTTGAGGGGTTGGATCCTGTCTTTTTTCTCTCCTCATTTCTCATAGCTGAACGTGAGTGTGACATAACCTATTGGAGATTCAAAAGGATACTTACTGTTTGTTGACATTAGCGCTCATGTTTTGCTGATTTCCAAGAATCATATCATTACTGTTCTTCTTACATTGTTTTATTAAATTTGATCTTTTTTGGTGGAAAGTTGATTGGCAGAAAGCAGTTGAAGTTTGCAACCGAAACGTTTTCTTTAGGAATATTTGTTCACACGATAACTGTTGAAAGTAATAAATAATGTACTAAGAGCTGAAGTGTTTCGAGAAATATACTCTTAATCTTGGTCTTATGCCTTGAGCTGGCTCAAATCTTATCTTTCTTCATTGATGCTCATCAGGTAGCACCCTTTGAGATCTATCGGATAGGTAAGTGTGAAGCTGCTGCTGCCATTACAGTGCCCTCTGGTGAAAATGCTGAGCCATCAGGTGCGGAGATGAGTTCAGAGGAAAATCAACTTTCAAAACCTGAGGAAAAGGTAAGTCTAGTTCCCTTTCCATGTTTTGTTCCTTTGGTGTTATTGCAAGAAGTAAGTCTGAGAATGGAAAATTTGGCAGTGACTTGATAGTTAACTGGAAGGAAAACCGGATGGTTCAATAGGAGATAAGCTAATAACCATAAAAAGTGGTTAGAAGATCATTTGCCATCCACGTTATAAGAAGCTCAATATAGCAGGGATTTAATTAGATATTAGGTATTCATTCTCGTGTGAAAGTTTGACAGAGTTAGATTTTGATATTCAGGACTTGCTGAAGTTTGGTGGCGATAGTGAAAGTTGCAACAGGAGTTTGTGGAATTCTAGTTCCTGTTTGCTTTCTCAAGCTGCTATTGGCTTTTTCTCGAGTATCACCTCTCGTCTTTTCGGCTCCTTGAGCACATCACTGTTTGGTACATACCAAGCTATATCAGAAGGACAGGAATCAAGGATTCTAAATGAGGAGGAAGTCATAGAACTTAGCAATTTGAATGCAGGAATTCTCACACTTGAGGTAGGATACATGAAGGCTTCCCTTGAAATGGAACTAGAGCAAGAACAGGAAACAGCTGAGGATCAAAAACATGATGCTTTGCCATCTTCCAGCAAGCTCCCTGAAGAGTTTAGACAGTTTGATATGGTAACTGGTTTCTCAGACCACCATTTTGCAGATGGTGCTGGAAAGGCGCAGTTATCCCAGGTCAAAATTTCTTTTAGTTTTTCCCAAGTGAACATGTCGGCTTATTGTTATTTTTACTTTACTCTTCCCCCTTTTTTAATCTTTCTATTACTTCACAGGTTAGAAGAGGTTGGCTGAAGAAGGTCCAACAAGAATGGAGCATTTTGGAACATGATCTTCCTGGTGAGAATTTCAACCTGTTTTTCTGTTTGTGTCTAATGATGTGATATTTACATTCTGCTATTGTTTACTTTGTCTATCTATGTATTTTGGCAAGTATGAGTCATGCTTTTTGAGCGAAAGCTCGTTGAATTGGAGGGGGGTGGGGGTGGAAAGATATAACATTGGGAATGCTGAAGCTACTGAAATGAACAAAGACGAGGGAAAATGTAAAAAGATATAAGCCAGACTTTCAATGAGAATTGGCATACTCTGCAACTAGAATTTTAATTCCTGAAATATATTGCCTTTTTTAGCCTATGGAATATATGATAAATATCAGTTGTTCTGTAGTTCATGTACCGAAGTCAAATGGTAATGCCCTTATGGCAGTCCACAAGTTCTATTTTTCATCTTTACATTTGGAGCAAAATGATAGATCTTCTATTCGAAATTCATTTTGTGGGTTACTCCACAGATCTTTTGCAAGACAAACAGCCCAGAAAATTAGATTCTTACATGGGCTAATATGATAAATGAATTTAAAAGTTTAGAAAGTAAGGGAGCCACTGTAGGTTTAATGTTTCTGATATTATGTGCCAATTATTTTGTCTTTGCTCTTTGTAATAGCGCCTCTGTCTTGTATCATTTTCTCAAGAAGTTCTCTCTTTTCCTTAATTCACTAAGTTTATGTAATTTTGGTCGATTGCTGTTAAGACAGAATGGCTTTCCCTCAGGAAAGTGGAAAGTTCCGAGTGACGATAAACTTAAGTTTGAAAAGGCGAACAAATGATCACAAACTATTGCTCGAATAGGAAAGATTTGGGGGAGAGGGGTTGAGATAGACACTAAATTAACCACAACTTGACTGCACAATATCTTTTCCTTTTTTCTTTTCTCTTTGATGCACAATATCTGATTCTATCAGCAAAAAACCTCTTATCATCGAATAGATGGTTTTACAGTGCATTTCTTGACTATTCTTCCTCACACTTGCTTTATTAAAACCTAAAACAGAGACTATCTATGTACGCGTATATGAAGAAAGAATGGATTTGCTGCGAGCAGCCATTATTGGTGCACCTGGGACTCCGTATCATGATGGACTCTTCTTCTTTGATATTTACCTACCTTCGGACTATCCGCATGAGCCACCTGTAAGTAACTCTTTATAGCCTGTGCATTAATCTTAACATGAGCACAAGTTGTTCCATATTTCCACAATGTTCTGATTGATAGAAATGAGCACTTGCTTACCTTTGGAAGCTAAATTCAGATCATACTTATTCATTAGCTCTTATGCATTGTTAGGCATCCAATTGTCAAACTCCACCATCCATTTATGAAATTCATCTGTTTCTTGATTTGTGAGATCAAACATAGACTTTCTCGTCAAAGCTTATTTAGGTTTTGTGAAAATGAAATTGTGCAGATGGTCTACTATCACTCTAGCGGGCTTCGTGTCAATCCCAACTTGTATGAGTCAGGAAAGGTCTGTCTTAGTCTCTTAAATACATGGACGGGCTCCGGAAATGAAGTATGGAACCCCAAAAGTTCCACGATTCTACAAGTTCTCCTCTCTCTTCAAGCACTTGTGCTCAATGAAAAGCCTTATTTCAATGAGGCTGGATATGATGCACAGATTGGAAAAGCTGATGGTGAAAAGAACTCAGCTAGCTATAATGAAAATGCTTTCCTTGTTACCTGCAAGTCCATGTTATACCAACTCAACAAGCCACCTAAGGTAGATGATTACATTTGAAGTTTTCTAAGTCTCTTTAAATCATGTTTAGATTTCAGATAAAACCACGTAATGTACCATGTTTAAGAAAGGAATTTGGACTCTGACGACTTAAAGTTCTAATTACCACCAAGACTTTTTGTATTCCAGCATTCTATATAGAAACACTTCCCTTTTAATATGGAAGTTTCTGATCTGCTTGGTCAATTATGCTGCAGCATTTTGAAGCACTCGTGCAAGAGCACTTTGGTAAAAGATGGAAGCACATTTTGTTGGCTTGTAAGGCGTACATGGACGGTGCACCAGTTGGTTCTGCATTTCAACCCAAAAGTCAGGAGCAAGAACCGATAAAAGGAAGCTCTACAGGGTTCAAGATTATGCTTGGCAAGCTTTTCCCTAAACTCGTGGCGGCATTCACTGACAAAGGTATCGATTGCAGTCAGTTGTCCGATTAAGTGTTGCTATGCACCTGTGTAATAACCAATATATGTACAATATCAGCATTTGAACTGGCCCTAATTGGCCGTTTCCATGTTAATTTAAAGTGTGCAGATGTGTGTTGTGGGCTTGTTGGGGTGGG